TGTATGTACAGTACGTATCTATATGTATATGTATGTATGTATGTACAGTATACGCACACACACATATATACACACATACACACATAAAAACACACACTTGCTATTTACAGGTTTTTGCTTTCAGTGTATAGATTCTGTTCAGTACAGGCAGCTCCAAAATTCAACACTGCTTAATGTTTTTAAGAAACAAATATTTTAAATCAAAATCCTTTTTGTAGCAAGGCAAAACCAAGCTAGCTACGTTATTTTATGTGAAAAGGCAGCAAAATTCGCTAATGTTATCTCGTTGAGTAAGAAACGTTGTAAAGTAAACAGTCAAGCTTAGGCAGTGCCAAAAATTCCACAAAGCCAAACACTTTTAGAAGTTCAAAGGGAGAAAGATATTGAGGTTGCTTGGATGGACTCGTGAGAAAAAGAATGGGAAGATGAATTCAAGAGAAACTAAACAGAGAGGCATTTGATAGGTGGAATACTCAGGAATTACATGTGAAGCCCCAAGAGCTTTTTGTCCATAGTATTCACTCCTTATGCTCATCTATAGGAGGTTTCAAATTAAAGCTGATTGATTCTGAAAAGTTGACATTAGTAATACTGACACCATCAAATCATCAGTTGCTCAGGTAAAGTTGGACAATCGGACACTTCCAGAGGTAAAAGGAGTATTTTCTTGCTTTTGCAAAAGAACAAAGCATTGAACCACAAGATAATAGGAATAGAAAAATAAACTTTCACAACTTTAACTGCAATTGTGTTAGGCCTCTGGTTAGAAAATCATATTGTAGTTTTATAGTCAAGTGATGGAGCAGCTATTCTGAAATTGTACCATTTGTTCATGTCTAACTGAGGAGATTCTTCACAGATATCCAGCAACAAGGAAAAAGTCTACCACCAGGTTTGAAAACCTAACGTGCATCATCTGAATCCTGCAAAATGATATTGCCTTCTCATTTTTATTATATAGTCAAATGCAAATTCTACTTGATGGGTTTTAACAAATGTGTATACTGATCAAATCAAGACAAGTTACAGCTTAGGTAACAGCAGAAGCTTTCCAGATGAAATGGGTTTAAATTTCAGACTTCTTCCTACCACTCGGAGTCAATAGACTTTTGGCTGTTCTTTTCTCAGCCTTTGAGTGCCCTGTTCCATATCTATATAGTGGATCTGTCTGAGCACCAGCTCTGTTCACCAGCTTCAGCCCTGACACCAAAAATGCAAATTATAGTTTGCACAGAAAGAGGAGTCATATATGTAACTGGTTACTACTTTGCTCAGTTAACAGCACTTAATCCTAGGGTGAATGAAGCATAACCTTCAACAAAAGTAAAATCTCCCCTGGCTTGGAAATATACAATATGGGCTATATCCAGGGGTTCTGACTTCTTGTGCCAGTTCTGTCTTTTCTTTAATTAGCCTAACTCTATGCTGCAATTCAAACATACTTTCTTGGGAATAAGACTCGCTAAATTCAGGGGCTCTTTCTAAATAAACATCACACTGTCAAATTTCATTGATTGCTCTGAACTATATTGTTAAGTCACACAAGTTTTCAGTGAATACTTGCAAAGAATTTGGGTTAGTTGAGGTGACTTTTTTTGCAGAAGATTTTTATGGAGATGTTTCCTATCCAGTCAAATCTAAAATCATCTCTCATTCTGAATGTGTTTGCTTTGGGAAAAGTGGTTCTGAGTACAACAATGTTACAATAAACCTTAGTCAAATTATACATTGTAAAATCATAGCATTATGAACCACTTTTCGCAAAACAAATATTGGGATTTTCAGCTGAGATAATCTTTTCCCCAAACTTTCTCAGTGTCCATCTAATTGCAAATAGAATTCATGCAAGTTTGTCTAATACTAATGAAAAAGACTATGTGTAATGTTATAGTCAATCTTGTTTTTCTTAATAAAAAATCTTCCATGGAAATTTGACTCCTGATAAGTATGTGGACAGTCTGTGTTTAATTACTTTAACAAAATATAAATTTACAAAAAAACATTCTGCCTTTCAAATTAGTCAGCTAGTACAAATACCTCTATCATAAATTAATTTCTGTCCTAACATTTATACATACTACCCTGTTTCCCCCCAAATAAGACATCCCCTGATAATAAGCCCATTCGGGCTTTTGAGCGCATGGCAATAAGGCAAAACACTTACTTCAGGGTTCAAAAAAATATAAGACAGGGTCTTATTTTCGGGGAAACACGGTAGTATGTTTCCAAATGTATGGTAAGTAAAGAAAAATAAAGCTTTTTATTGTGTCTGAAAAATTATCACAGTGGATAATTTAAAACAAATCACCTGACACGGTAAACCTGAGATTTATTTTATATTATAGTTATAATAACGTTGTTCAGGCATGCAAGATTACTTTAACTGTGCAATTTATGTTTATAACCATATGAATATGTTGTACATTAGCAAACCCTTAATTAAAAGCAGCAAAGGAAATTGCTGGATACAACTTACAACCTGAACTCTTTAAAATTATACTATGTGACCTTTGAGAATTATATACCATTGTTTATAATGAATTACACTGAATTTTGGCCCAATAATTTTTTTAGAAGGCAACATTTGAAGGAGGTTGGAGGACTTTCTAAATGTGTCTCTTGGTTTGCTGTTTTTATAAACTTCTTGCCACTTGTTTACTGATCCTTTTTGTGGTTGACAGCAAAAATGTTCCTAACAAAAGGAGGCTCCTGCAGCAATATAGGCCAAACAGGGACCACTCTTGGAAAAATATATAGTTTTCGTTTTTGCCAAGAATCGAGTAGACAATATTTAGGGAAGCAGTTTAAATTTAGGAGACACAGAGGCTTTATTATCAAATCTGACATATTTTTAAAGTAGTCTCCGGATGGAATGTTTATACATAAACTAGATGTTTAAAATAAGGAAGAATTTCCTCAGCTGGTTCTGACTCCTGCTGATTCATCTGTGTGCTTTTCTTGGCGGTGTTACAGAAATGGTTAAAGGGCAAGCAAGCTGCCAGGATGTCAGTTGTCTTTCTTCCTTTTCAAAGCTTAATATTTAGTAAAATAAAACAAAGGAGCACAAGAACTACAGAATCATAAGGAGATCACTGCTGGATCGGACAAAGGACTCATCTTGGAAGCTCACAAGCAATATAGGGGCCAACTACTACACCAGGGGTGTCAAACTCGATTTCATTGAGGGCTGCATCAGGGTTGTGTTTGACCTCGGGGAGCAGAGGTGGGCGTGGCCTATGTTACACCACTTGTGTCATCACCACAGAGGCGCCTGTGGTGGCCTGAGTGCTCTGCCAGCAAAAACGGGCTCCATTGGCTGGGACTGCCTCCTGCAACCCTTGGCCCTCCCAAGCTCTATTTTCACTGGCAGAGGGTTGTAGGAGGCCGTTTCAGCCAAAAACGGAGATTGGGAGCCCATTTTCACTGGCAGAGACACCACGGACTGGTCCTTCGCTGTTTCCTGGGTGGCCCCACAGGCCAAATCAGCCGAAGAGATTGTAGGAAAAAAAATGCCTTTAAAAGCCTCTGGTGATCCCACCTGAGTTGCCTGATGGTCAGAGGCTTTTAAAAGCATTTTAAAAGCTTGGTGCGGGGTCACATTACCCCCCACCAAGCCACACCCACAAAATAAGCCACACCCACAGAACCGGTAGTAAAAAAATTTAGAACCCACCCCTGACTTGGAAGTCTTCTAGTCCAACCCACTGCTCAAGCAGGAGACCATATACCATTTCAGACAAGTGTCTGTCCAGACTTTTTTTAAAAAATGAAAAAAAAGAGAGAGAGATGCCACCTATTTATTTTACTGCCTATTAACAGAAAGAAATGGGAGAAGATGTGCTGCTCTTTACCTCCACCTTCCAGATGGTTCCATATATTAACACACTGCAGTGAAAAGCACGCATATATAACCCATTAAAAAAGGCATCTATAATCATGATAAGTATGCAAAACTAATTATGACCATATATGCTATAAATTAAAATCTTCATTAAACTTCCAAAGAAATGGCAAGTCTTAAATTTCAGAATGTTTCTTAAGAGTCTGGCTTTCAATACATTTTTGTAAAGTTGAGCAGTTACAGCGTAAATGGAGTGCTTAATGACTTCTATAATTTAGGTAGACTTTGTTATCAAATATTCATGTCTGCAGCTCATGCAATCCAAGAAATTTTCAATTTGTAAAATAAATTAAAAATCTAAAATAAAGACTTTTATTCTCACAAGGACAAATGATTCCCCCTCCCCATAGTTTATTAATGTCAAGAAAATTCAGTAACCATGATCTATAGAACATTGCATTAGCAACATCCCAGTGATGAGAATGCCAAGACTTTTGCATCTGCAGCTATCTTCCTGATCCAAACAAGCTTGTACAAATTATTAGTAGGTTTGCTGTTCTGCTTGCACATTTTGTATCAGGTACATTTTGGCTCTCTAGAATGGTTTAATAATCATCACATTCTCTGATTCTTGGCAACAGAATTGTTCTTTCTTCTCCACAATTTTCATAATTTTATTAGCAAATAATCTTTGTATCTTTTGTGAATAAGAATGGAATTTCTACCCTGAATATTTGCTATTTGGTATCATATGACTTTCATTGTGATTTTAGATTTCTGGCAATTTTTGACAAAGTATCACAGTACAAATAATGAGTACAACTCCTTCCTAGAATTATGTAATACATTAATGTGTTCAGCAAACTCATCAGCAAACTGGGAAATTTGATGATGCGGTGAAAATAGTAGCTATTAAATCAAGCTCGCACCAGGTAGTTATTATTAATTATTTTTTTCTGCCCATGCAACATTTTATTTGCTTGTTGATTTGTTTCTAAGACTTTTCCAGGGCAAATTTCTATTAATGTAAACCAAAAGTAGAAGCAAATCTGAATAGCAAGGATTACAAATGTAGGAGTCTACAAGCATACAGAAAAAGAATTTCATCAAGCAATTACAGATTTTAGAGTACTATACCAGCAATTCAGATTTTTAAAATAACTTTTAATTTAATAACCATTCAAAGCTGGCAAACAAAGTCAAGATTTATTTTACAAGCTTGTTAGTAACTTAACAACTGCAGTGATTCATTTAACAACAGTGGCAAGAAAGGTTGCAAAAAGGGATAAAACTCACTTAATAATTGTCTTGCTTGGCAACCGAAATTTTGCGTTCAATTGTAGTCAAATTGAAGACTGCCTGCACTTGAATTTGGTTCGTGGAAGCCACAAGATGCCAAGATGAGCTTCTACCTATCTCAGCTCAAATTTTCCATTTTTGGATTGCTGGACTGAAATTATTTTGTCCCTAGATAAGCAATAAATATCAACAGATTAAGAACAACCCCAAGCTTTGCAAATGACTTTCAAGTTTTTAGGATTTTTTTAGAACAAGGTTCTAAACTCTCAAAAGAAGCCCCATAAGAATTTAATGAGATAGAGGGGGTGAAAGTCCATGATCTTGGGGTAGGAATGAGAATGGAATGATTATGTCCACAACGACATAACCAGATACAGACTGGAGTGTTGTTTTAAAAGGGAGAAATTATTTCAGTATAGCTGAGATAAAAAAATCAAATTGGAGAGCAAAAACAAAAGAGAACCTCTCTTCTTATGCAACCTGAGGAAGACACCACATGTTCTGTGGGCCCACACTACTACCAGATATTTGAGAATGGAAGAAAAAGCAGCGATAAAAGTGAACCAAATAATTCATTGGGCAATATGCCATTGCAAGACTCCCTCCTATCAGACTCTAAACTCATCATTTGAATGTTTGATGTGCACAGATTGAAAAGTTTAAATTAATTGCATATTAGCACTGATGGCGGTGGCTTCAATAAAACATAATTGTTTTCACTAGAATTCAGTACAGGGTGTTACTACAATCCAATAATGAAAAAATGGAATTACCTACATAGCTATTATGGCAAATGACTGGAAGGAAATTTATAATAACAGTGTAAGAAAGATTTGTGCTATCAATATAAGCCACCTTCACCATGTCAACACAAGTCTTCCACAGCTTGCTATTGCTATCTATAACAAAATTTAACAGAACAAACCTCATGAGATAGATCCACTTTGTATATAACATGGGTTGGTCTAGTGGTTAGAGCAATTGTCTAGAAACCAGGAGACTGCGAGTTCTAGTTTTGCCTTATGCACGAAAATCACTTGCGTGACTTTGGGTCAGCCTAACTCATCTCACAAAGTGGTTGTTGTGTGGAAAATAGGAGGAGGAAGGAATATTAGATATGTCCATTATCTTGAGTTATTTATAAAATAATAAAGGCAGGATTAATATATATAGATAGATAGATCAGAGGTGGTATTCAGCAGGTTCTGGCCAGTTCTTGGTAGCAGAAATTTTGAGTAGTTCGGAGAACTGGTAAATACCACTTGTGACTGGCCCAGCCCCCATCTATTCTCTGTCTCCAGAGTCCCAGCTGATCAGGAGGAAATGGGGATTTTGCAGTATTCTTCCCCTGCCACGCCCACCAAGCCACGCCCACAGAACCGCTAGTAAAAAAATTTGAATCCCACCAGAGGGAGGGAGGGAGGGAGGGAGGGAGGGAGGGAGAGAGAGAGAGAGAGAGAGAGAGAGAGAGAGAGCGCCAAAACTTTGATACTTTTGTTCTTTCCAGAATACTAGCAACTCATTTGATAGGTTCTTTCCCATCCTGGCCTTTTTTGAATGGGTGTCAAAATGAATTCAATAGGTTGTACCCTTGTGTCACATCTTTGAATCCTGAATTCAAATGTATATTTTCATGTGATCATCGAGCAGGGAAAGCTGCTTACAGGTTGGAGCCAAAGTACCTTCCTCCCTTTGGATACAAATCCTTCACACCTGTATTAAAAGATTTAAATTCGTAATACTTTGTTATCAAAGTCCATTCACTGCCATTCTAACATGATAAAGCTAAATACTGATATATATTCAGATATTGAGAAGCGATTAAATAATTAAATGCACAATTAACTAAACAATCCCAATTAGAACAATGTGAAACGTTTAGAAATCAAACCTATATTAATATTGATATTTATGCCTTTTCCTGGCACTACCAATTTTCTGTGGTTTGACAAAATATTGAAAAGCATCTGTTGTCTTGCTATTTATTTTGTGTGTGTGTGTGTGCGCGCGCGTATGTACAAAATGCATGACATTGATCCTTTCTACCCTTAGTTATAAATATGTGCCTTTTTGCCTTGTCAAAATCAAATGGAGCCTTTCATTTTGGTATTTTGGAGGAGTGCTATTTCTAGCAAAAATTGTCCTTGGGTCTTTGGGTAAAATGCACTGCTCTCTTTATAGTACACCTCATTTAATTATTTATTTCATAGATTTAAAGAACTCCTGACCCCAGCCAACTGTTTATATTTTAAAAGGTCAGCACAATAAAACACACAACACACACAACCAAATATAAATCTTCAAGGACTCACCCACCACCCTGACCCAAAGGTTGAAATAGTAACACAGTCAGGACGGGAGCTGAACGATCTTGGGGCAAGGTGGAGGGATATTGTTCTATAATAATAATGCACACTCATAACTTTCTTTTTCTGGGCCCTGGCAGTCGAACACCTTTCTTTGTTTTCTCTTCATTTGTCTTATTTTTACCATGGCTGCCAGATCCGGACGGCCAATATGGGCACGATGGCTTTCTACACATACGCCACGGAGGAATTATCCGAAATGCAACACCCCACAGCAGCCCTGGGCTTCCCACCCGAGACCAAGACAAAGAGGCTCTCCTCATCCCGGGCTGCGGCGGGCCACGTGCAGGCGGGGATGGATTGCAGAGACCCGCAAGAGGATCAGTCTGCCGCCTGCTCCTCCTCCACCTCCGCGTCTCTCGGCAACGGCCAGAACCCATTTCTCTGCTCGGTCTCCTCAGTCTCGCCCCGGCCGTCAGAGGCCAGAGAAAGAGGGAAGAGCCTTTCCCCGCCCTCTCTTACACTCGTCGCGGTTATAGTTTAGCAAATTTGCGCGGGAAGGGAAGGGGACAGGGTCCACTCTCGTGGAGAAAACTGAACGCCGCGCTGCTACTGTTGCAATTATTGCTCCTCCCTCCTTTTTTTATTTTTTATTTTAATTCAACCGTAACCACTCCTAAGGGTTTTCAAGTTTCACCTCGGCCCAAATCGCTATAAGAAAAGTCTGTGTTTTTGTTTTTGTTTTGGTATGGCTTTGGTATCAGGGCTGCCCGATCTCTGCTGACGCAATCGGGCTTCTGGAGTAGCCCCTCTGTGGTCGTCTCTCCCGATCCTTGCCAGGGCATTTTTATTCATTTCCCTGGGCTTTCCCAGGCATGAATCAGCAGTTACTGGAAACAGGCACGGGAAGTGCCCTTTGCATTCATGTTCTGCCTCTGGATTTTCAGAGCTGTTGGCTTGTCTGCTGGGAGATGCCAGACTAGATCGGTTCCAGTGCCTCGAGTTCTGATGTTCCTAATGCCTGTCAGTGCCTTTGGCAATGTTGCCTGAGGCTATTAAGAAACTCTGATCCAAGAGCTGGAGGCTTGGGAAAGAATCGGCTCTAACTTTAGACATTTATTAACTGTTTGGTGTCAGCAGTTTACCTGTGACAGCTGCCTTCCTGCCCCGACCCGCAATCTGGAGTTTAGATTGATTTCGGATATCGCACCTACAGCTTTTCACAGCCTCCTTCTTTTTAAAGTGTTTGCAAAGAATTGTTGAGGCAAATTAACTTGTAAAATGCTTAACCTAAACATTATAAACGTAACCTGGGGGATGTTTACCCTTGTAGCCCTTATTTCTGGGAAAAAAAGGGTGGTGGAAAAAGTTTGTGCATGACTATCAAAGAGACGCAAAATCAACAGTTGAAACTTCTTTATAGTTCATGCCTCATGACATGCTGTGGTTCATTATTAACCATGATACATTGGATAAATAACATTGGTTAAGTTCATGTGCAGTGTTCATCAAAAGCCGTTGATTGTAAACCACACTGCTGCAGTTTTTGGCATAACACACTAAGACAAGATCAAACCATATTATAACTTGGTTCAATATCAATATGTGAACGAAGGCCACACTGCATCTTCTTACTGTTAAAACAACTATTTGAACCAGTGCCACACGGGAACAAATGCATGAGAGTCATGAGGAGACACTGTGTCCACAAAATGGTTAAAATTAAATCATAATCCTTCAATAATCTGAAATTTCACTTTTGATTTTTTGCCAATGCTGAGCTTTCTTACACTTCGAAGAAATTATGGGCTTGCAGTTTAGAGAAAAATAATAAAGTTCTTCATTTTTTTTAAAAAAATGAGGTAAAAATGTTAGCTATATTTTATGAAGCAAATTAAGCAGGCAGCAGGTAAAGGAAAAGTATGCAAATGAGCCATTTCATATGGCTGGACAAATATTCAGGATCAATTTGCAAAAATAGAAGATAATAAAATGCTAGCTCATTCTCTTATATTTTCTGACATGATTTAGCAAAAGACTGTATCTAGCTATAAAAATTCATAAAAGTGCTCATAAAAAAAGTTATGAAATATATTAACAAGACAAAGCATTTTAAAAGAAATCAGCAAAAATAACCAGGGTGTTGTGAGATTTATTGTGTAGCATACGTTTTTGTAGTCTACAGCCTTTTTAAATCTAAATTTAGTCCTAATATAATTTGTTAACCTTTTTTATTGCCTATTTCTTTACTATAGTTAAAAGGAATGCCTTTCAGAAAGGAGATCTCATATCTTGGACTATTCTATGGACCCCTTATAACCAGTGCTGAAGTGAATTTTTATTCTGGAAGATTGCTTGCATTCCTTAAACTCAAGGCTTTCCCCCCAATTGTAATCTTGTAATTTGTATTGTTTACCCAGTTCACACATATGTGCATCCACATGCATGCACTCTAGAAACAATAGTGGGACCTCAAATACAGTAGAACCTCTGGTCATGAATGCTTCTGACCACGACAAAATCAGGTTCCAACCAAAAAATTCACAATTTTTTTTGCGGCTGATTTCCCCTTCCGTGCCATTTTTTTGGGGTAAGCGCCAAATTTCCAAAATTAGGTTCGGGTCATGACCAAATTGGGTTGCGACCAAAGTTATGGAACGAATTATGGTTGTGACCAGAGGTTCTACTGTACAGGTAGTCCTTGACTTACAACAGTTCATTTAGTGACTGTTCAAAGTTACAATATCACTGAAAAAAGTTACTTATGATGAGGGGTGGGTTTCACTTTCCTTTACTACCGGTTTGCAATGGGAGTGCGCGCGCACACTTCTGCACATGTGCAGATCACCCATGATGATGTCGTGGCGGTTGGGCGGAGCCTCCCACTGGTTTTACTACCGGTTCTATAGAACCAGACCGAACTGGGAGTAACCCACTGCTGCTTATGACCATTTTTCACACTTACGACCATTGCAGCATCCCCATGGTCACATGATCAAAATTCAGATGCTTGGCAACTGACTTATTTATGATGGTTGTAGTGTCCAGGGGTCATGTGATCACCTTTTTGCAACCTTCTGACAAGCAAAGTCAATAGGGAAACCAGTTTCACTTAACCACCGTGTTACTAATTTTACCACTTAACCAATGATTCACTTAACAACTGTGGCAAGGAAAGTCGTAAAATGGGGCAAAATTCACTTAACAAATGTTTCTCTTAGCAACAGAAATTTTGGGCTCAATTGTGGTCATAAGTTGAGGACTACCTGTATTGCTTCTAGCTTTTCTATTCAAATAATGCAGGCTGTCTTAGAAGTGAGGGAATTGACCTCTTATGCCAATTATCTTGGCCTCTTTATCTCCCTCTGGCATTGCTGTAGTGGTAAATAATGGACTTGTAAACTGGAAAGGTTGAGGATTTAAGCATTTTTTGTTGAAAGTTAGCTCAATCAGATGTCTTTTAGTAAAAATATATTAATGATGGAAGAATATATTTTTTTTCATTTAGAAATCTGACATTTAAGACAGGCTTCTCATACATATTGTCTCTTCAACTCTTCATCTGCCTAAGATCTCTTTGTATTTGCTTCTACTTTGAAAAATGAACACTGGCTGGCCTCAGAAATCTTGTGGATATTATTTATATTTTTGGTGGGATGGCAAAACTAGACATACAGAGCAGAACATTCCCTTATATACAGTATTTGTAGAATATGCGCACAGAATCATGTGAGGGGAAAAAATTGCTTTCGCATCAACTCTAAAGTAGAAATGCCTCCTGTAGTATTTAAACAGGATGGATGCTGGAATGTAATCACTGCATGGTAGGCATAAGAAAAATAGTAGACTAGTATCTATGGTATTTAGAACATGAACATGAGGCACATAGGGGAGGAAAAGTAGTGCTACAAGAATTATCATTTTTTCAATGATTAACACTATAATAGGAAATGCAGCTGCTGCCTGCTGTGTATGCTAAATGATTTTTAGTCATTTTTGCAGATGAATATATAAAGGTCCAAATAGCATCTGCTATAAGCATGACAAAAAATATTTCCTTGAAATTAGGTCAGATTAATTATGCTGCTAGACAATAATCCATCTTGTCTATTTATACAACTAGCATATTAATATTTCTCCTCAGAGTATTCCACCAGTAAAAGTGATAATACCATAACTTGGAAGCATGTGAATTTTGAAAGGAAGTAGTGCCCGTAAGATAGAGTGGGGTATATGTTGTGTAAGTTAAGCAGTTGATTTAGTGTTGAGATATAAAAAGATGAACATGTCATCTTCTCTAAGTAAGTGGAACTCCACTCCTGATGTCTTCATGACATTGTGTCCATGTAACTTTCTTCATAATATAAAATTAAATTTGCTTTTGCTGACTTTCCAGGTTAGCCTATGATCCTAGGCCTTTCCTCATAGTTGCTGGTCCAAATACTCACCAGGTACCCCTTAACTGTTCAAACTTAGCCAAAGATGACTAAGTGCTGCCACCTAGCTTGATGTAGACATATGACATGCAAGAAGAGTTTTTGGTTTCTCAGGTTTTTTTGCTGTTGTCATTAAGATAATATGTGTGTATCAGTGGTGGATTGCTCCAGGTTCTGTCCGGTTCTTGGGAACCAATAGTAAAAGCAGTGGGAGGCTCCGCCTACCCGCCCGGATGTCATAATTGACGATCTGCGCATGCACAGAAGAGCGTGCACACATGCACGCTCCCGTTGCGAATTGGTAGTAGTAAAGGTAAGTAGAACCCACCCCTGGTGTGTATCATAACCTGGGCGTGTGTATGTAGAGAAGATGGATGGATGGATGGACGGACGGACAGACAGAGAATTATGAAAGGATGAATAGGTATTTTCTAAACAAAAACAAAGTAAATTATAAGATTGTTTTGAATTTTTGAAATAAACTGCATTAGTTTTTAATCTCTAATATTTTAAGTGGCCCAAATCAATCACAATACAAGAAACAATACAAAATCTTCAAAATGGAGAAATCCAATAATTCCTTCAAAGGCTTTGTAAATGTGGTAAATTGCACAGTTTAAATGAAATTATAAGACTAGAAAGAGAACAAAAATCTGTTGATGGCTCCCACTTTTATTGATTTATAAAACCTAGTCTATAATATTGATTACTTTTGGTGCTATAGTTTTTGGTGCTGTAATAATTTTAACAAAGAATGCTATGTTTACATTTTAACAGCCCTACTTTTGCTGTAATTCATTTTCTTAAAAGTATATTTTTAAGAAAGGGGCATTTTTGTTTCCTGGATAAAGATAAATTCCT